TATATTATATTATATTATATTATATTATAATATTTGAGGCCAGACCCTGGCCTCAAACTTCTACCCCATGTATTCACTGCATGTCATCTTACACCTTACCACTGCATCTCCTAACAGGCTGCTGGCTCTTAACTCTTAACTACTTGTCATATTCCCCACTGAAAGCTCATGGAAGCTTCTGAGCTCTATCATGTCACTCTACAGCCAAGAGAAATTACAGGGGAAAAAAAAAAAAGAGGTGGGAAGGGAGAATGCAATGTAGCCTCCCCACATTAGATGGTCTCCTCCTGAAGCTTAGAAATGGAGGCCAGGCAAAAGTCTCTTCCTTCATCTGCTTTTGTTATGGTCTGTTATTTTGGTCCTTCCAGATTTTTCTACTAAAAGAGCTTCTACTAACCTTTCATGTGGAAGAGGAATAGCCCCCTTCTCCATGGAATGTGAAACCATCTGGACTTACTTGTTCTCAAGGGTACTTTAAATAGAAAAATTATGCATTGAGTGGACATTATTGAAAGAGGAAAATACATCAAAAGGCATTTCAAAATAACTATCTCCAAAGCAATTCAGTAAATTATTATGGAGCAGCTTCTATGTGTTAGGAGCCAGGAAGAAGGTGGTGAGCACAACAGAAGACATTCCTACCCTTAATGAACTTACAATCTTGAACATTTTATAGGAAATATTGCCATATCTCAATAGCATGGAGATATATACATAAGATTGATCATTTCAACAGTTGTTGAAGACTCAACTGATACATTCATTGATCAGGAAATGATTAAATAGATTATGTAATAGTTATACTATGGAACATTATACAATTATTAAAAAGAATTAGAGTTCTACTGTCTTTTTTTTTTTTTAATCTCCATTTTGCCAGTTGGGTAATTGGCCAGGCATGATGGCTCATGGCATAGACCAAGCTACTTGGGAGGCTGAGGCAGAATGATTGCTTTTCTTATAAGGTGGAAAACCTATTTTTGCAAGCCCCAAATTAGGGTCTATAATATAATATGAAAATACGCTAAGGATAATTAAGCAGAATATTTTAAAATCTCAAGTGTCTCAAGTCCTATAGTACACCTGTTTTCTCTACTCATTGTGAACAATTTCTGAATCATGCTATGAATTGCATTAAAACTGGAGAAATTAGTTTTTTAGTGGTAGTAGATGCCAATTCTAATGAATTACTATTTTATAATCTACATCAGATTTAATTAAAATGTAGTTTATGATATTTTTGAGAAAATAACTCTTTACCTGTGCATTTTCAGTGGAAGATGCGAAGCATGCAAAATATTTTTCACTGGATCGCTGAATAAATAATTACCATAAAAAAAGAATTAGATATGTCTGTACATGCTCATATAAAAGAAGAATCTATACCTAATCATCTGAATATATGTCATGTACACATGCAGACATGTCTTCATGAATAGAAACTTAGAAAAAATACAAGCAACTATTAATGATGATTTCCTCTAGAAGATGAAATCTGACATGCTTGGAGAGAGGTAGAAAGGGAATTTTCATCATTATAAAGTTCTGTATCATTTGAGTTTTGTATGACAAGCTGTGTGTTACTTTTGTTGTTTTTAAAACAAAGAATATAAAAAAGTGAGAAAAATAAATAACCAGAGTTGCTACTGGCACACAATCTAGTCTACATGTTTAGAGAATTATTATTTCTAAATGCAATAGGCAAGAAGAAGTGGATAAAATGAGCAACATATTGTTCCAGCTCTCTTGTCTCCTGTCCTTTGCAAGAGTACAAGTTGGGAGGTTTCCACATGGAGTGTCCAAAGATAGTGAAGAAGCCCTCATGGATCCTCTCTCTTGTCTTCAACATACCCACTTCCCACCCTCCTTTAGTTTGTTTTCAACTCCTTTCTCTTTCCCTTTCAAATTTCCTGTCTTGCTTGTTTCCTTGAGTTACCTTAGAAATTAGCTGTCCTTCCCAGCCAGTTCTGCCACTTTCAGCCCAGTGGTTAGAGTAAGAGGAAGAAAAATGTTGCCTGAGCCTCCATCCAGATCACAGTTTGTTTTGGGGGATTACCATCCCTACCTACCTAAAATTAGATGTTCCTTGCTCTGCCTACATTAGTTGTTCTCCAGAAGTACTTATCACATCTTCTTACAAAACTTGCATTTCTCCATTACTATATTTTTAAACTTGTTATTCTGAAAGAGCATTTGTCTTCTCTTTACTTGAGGTTGTACTTGAATCCCCTCTTTTAGAATCATACTCTTGACCCTCCCCTGGCATCCTGAGTCTCCTTTGGGCTGGGCCCTGTCTTGTGCTTCATCTAGTTAGGAGGAAAACTTTATTCTTGCTGCAGATTTTCAGATAGTTTTGCATAGAATAACTAAAGATTCTTCTTAGCCAGTCAACAAAGTCTAAACAACATTAGACTTTGTTTATTCATTCAAGATTAAGTTTTTAATGCCTGCTGTATGCTTTGGTTCTGCCTGTTGAATTTTTTTTTCTGAGTTACTTATCCATATTGGAGAGGACAGCTTTTAAACACAGTAATAGAGTTGTTTCTTCACAAGAAGTGAAGTAAACATCTTGCACCAAAAGCTCAAGTTTCAAAAAGGAAAATAAACTAATATCTATGTCAGAGAAAACAACAACCTGATACCTATTAGTAGTATCTTACACATTCTCAGCAGAAATTTATAAATTAGTTCTTTTTACCCCACCATGTACTGGTTGTGAATTAGCTTTATCTAGGAATAACTTTATCTCATGGCTGCTTTCTCTTCTATCTTGTGTTTCTGCTAAAATATGAAAGACTGTATTTCATTCACTTTTTTATTTAAACCAATAAAACTTTATTCAATTAGAAAAATACAATCATAGTAAGTTTGGAGCCAAGCATTATAAATTACCTCTAAATAAATATGATGAAATTTTCTTTTTGCAGATGCAAGTATTGGCATTATGATGAAAACCTGCTTACTTCAAGTGTTGTCATTGTCTTCCATAATGAAGGATGGTCAACCCTCATGAGAACAGTCCACAGTGTAATCAAAAGGACTCCAAGGAAATATTTAGCAGAGATTGTGTTAATTGATGATTTCAGTAATAAAGGTAATGGCTATCAAGTTGACAGTTTGTCTTTAAAACAAGTTAATTATGAGTAATTGCAAATTTAAAATTAAGTGTTACTGCCGACAGTATTTATTATCAGCAAGTGACACTGTGCCAAGCATTGTATATGAATTATTTTGTTAATCCTAACAGTAATTTTTAGAATAAATATTGTCATTATCTCCATTTTACATACCAAAGGCTTGGAAATGTCAAGTAACTTGCTAACAGTCACAAAGACAGTAATTAAAAGTTGGATGCAAAGCCACGGGCTCATAAGTTTGTGTCTTCAGTCACTATCTTAACACTATACCAGTTCTTTAGGGCTTGGATTTTGCAAAATTTTAGTCATGGAAGTTTGAAAGACTGAAAAAATGCAATCACATGTCTATTGTAAGGCCACCYAAAGGGCCGTACACAGTTTTCACATTGAAATCCATATACCTATTGCATAGCCTATACTTTATATTTGAATGATGAGGGAAATATTAATTTTGACCAGAAACTATGAACTATTTTATTTATTATAGTATATTTTAAAGCTTATTTTGTTCCATATTTAGTTTAGAATAGTAAACAAAAGGAAATTATGCTTTTTATTCTTTTTAAGGAGGCAGCTATTTTAGCATTTAGGAAAGTCTTGGTTAGTCTTGGCTCAATTTGGCAAGAGAATGATTGAGCAGTGATCTTCCAGATAAGTGATTTTTTTTTTTAAAGGAGAGAGAGAGAATCTTTTTTTTTTTTTTAATATATAGATGGACACTACACAATGCCTTTATTTTTTTAATGTGGTGCTGAGAATTGAACCTGGGTCCCGCCTATGCTAAGGGAGCGCTCTAGAGCCACAATCCCATCCCCAGTGATTTTTTAAATTATATATTTTCTTTAAATATATTACTGTTARTTGAATGTCTTAATGACATGAAGTGAAAATACAAATAATGCTGTAACTCAGAATCTAAGTCAGCATGTAAATAAAAATGGAATTTTGCTGCTGCAACCCACATCTGGATTTTTTTTTCTTGTCACAAAATAGAATTGAAACTTTTGAAAATTGACCGGAGAGCTCAGACTACTCAATAACAACAGGATGTTTTCATTCTGGCAAATAAATTTTGCAGAAAATTGTTCTGTATAAGAGTGGTATCATTGAATGTAGACAGACATAGGTAGCATGAAAAAAATCTTTCTAAATGACTTTAGAAAAGCTTCCTTCCACCACTTAATTTAGAACTCTTGTAATCTGGATAAACTCATACTGTTTTTGCAGAGACATGACTATAATCATGATCTGCATACATGTTAGCATTAGGAGAAATAGAAATATGACTTACTTCCTTTTCCCTTTATCTTGGTGTAGTGGATCACTTTTTTCAACCAATCCTATTTAATCACACTAGAGAAATGTATAGTTTTAAATTTTATAATCATATCAAATGCATTTAGATTTTTTTCATTTCTTTTGCTATTGGGGATTGAACCCAGGGACACTCTACCATTGAATCATATCTCTAGTCTTTTTTATTTTAATTTTGAGACAGGGTCTTGCTAAGTTGCTGAGGGTCTCAATAACTTGCCAAGGCTAGCATGGATTGCGATTCTACTGCCTTTGCCTCTGGAGTTGCTGAGATTATAGATATGTTATCTTCGTTGCAATTTTCTATAACAGGAATGTTTACATCAAAAATATTATTCTTATTCCAAGACAAATATTTGAACATGTGTTTTATGGTGATACTGTTGGTACCAACAATATTATAAGTATAGAAAAACCTAAACCACAAAACAACTCTGAGAAATCGCCTTTGATTGTACTGATTTTAAGAACCCCTATATTATTAACATAAGAAAAATTTTAATATGTCCTTAAAAATGTAAAGGCTTACTAAAAAATTATTACCATCCTGAAATAACTACTTGATCCTGAAAGTCAGAACAGAATTTTGGGCTTAAGATTTTTGTGCCTTTTACTTTCACCTTTTTGTGATCAGTGCTTCTGTTGCTATAGATCTCTTATGTTCAGTCTCATGTACCATAATTTGAAGGCAGTCATGCAGGGACTGCTCATAGTATGCAAAGCCTTTTAGGTTCTCCTTGAACAGAGGTACGGAAAATCTGTCATTAGTTTTCCCAAACTCACAATAATTTTTAAATCTGTTGGTCCTAACTTCAGTAAAATTAATATCATATTTGCTTAATATGGCTGGAGTGAAAAATTTGGTTTGTACTTTCTCCAATATATTTCTCCAATATAGAAACTAAACTTTGAATTTATAAGTTTTCCTTTAGAGAAAAATTACTGATAAAAACCTCACAAAGGAGCTAACTACTCATAATAGCACTTAGATTTCTGAAAATTGGTGTGTCCTCTCAACAAGGTTTGGAGCCTTTAAAATAGCAAGCTCCTCTACACACATGTGCATCAGCCAGGGAGGCTAAGTCAGGCTAAGGTAAAACACAACTCCATTCTTTTTTTTTTTTTTAAATATAGACACAATATCTTTACTTTATGTTTCCTTTATTTTTATGTGGTGCTAAGGATCGAACCCAGTGCCTCACACATGCGAGGCAAGTGCTCTGCCGCTGAGCTATAACCCCAGCCCCTCAACTCCACTCTTAATGGCTTATAACAACAAAAGGTTTTCTCTTTTTATACTACATTTCCTACAGGTCAGCCTATCTCTGTGCTGTGTCTTCACTGCAAGACCTACACTTTGCAGAGCAGCTTCAGCTCATGCTGCCTGCGTAAAGGTAGAAGAAAGAAGAGATCTAGTAAAACACAAAAGGCCTCATAGTGCTTCTGCTGACAAGTGACCCATAGCATTTCTATCCACATGTCATTGGCCACAGCAAATCACACACCCAGCCTGACATCAGTGGGTTAGAGGCGGGTAATTTTACTCCAGGAGTAGTGGATATTTTGAACCCTAATACAGTCTATTACCATGTAAGATTTCAAAGGAGCAAGGAGTCATTGTATTCACTATTTCCCCTTTTGGGCCATCTTAAACAATAATCTAAACTTGAAGAATAGGCCACCAACTTTTTTCTGTCCATAAAAATGTAATTAAGATGGTTTAGGTTGCACATCCAAAAATGTACCTAATGGAATTCAGAAAGAAAGATTTTTTAAAAAATAATAACTTAGGATACTAGTCTTAAAAAAGAAAGAAAAAAAAGGGAGAAGGTTTATTTTTTTTTTAATTTTTATTGTTGGTTGTTCAAAACATTACATAGTTCTTGGCATATCATATTTTACACTTTGATTCAAGTGGGTTATGAACTCCCATTTTTACCCCATATACAGATTGCAGAATCACATCCGTTACATATCCACTGATTTACATATTGCCATACTAGTGTCTATTGTGTTCTGCTGCCTTTCCTATCCTCTACTATCCCCCCTCCCCTCCCCTCCCCTCCCATCTTCTCTCTCTACCCCATCTACTGTAATTCATTTCTCCCCCTTGTTTTTTTTCCCCCTTTCCCCTCACTTCCTCTTGTATGCAATTTTGTATAACCATGAGGGTCTCCTTCCATTTCCATGCAATTTCCCTTCTCTCTTCCTTTCCCTCCCACCTCTCGTCCCTGTTTAATGTTAATCATCTAAGGAGAAGGTTTAAAAGTAAATAAATAAATAAAATCTAGAAGGGAAAATTACTCAGATTTTCTGGGGTGGGGGGAAACATGAACAAAAGAGTTTTATTTATAACACTCATTAAAACTGCCAAAACAGAAGGAAAAAAAATTTCTAAATTCTGAATACCCATGTGTTTCTTGCTGTCTTACTAATAGAAGATCCCTAAAATTAGTAAAATATTAAGTGCATTGTCTGATATTCCTATTTAACCCCTAGCTCATTTCTATAGCAATTTTTTGTGATTTTTATATTCATAGGCCAAATTTTTAAACAGTTTTTGTATTGTCAAGAATCATCTTTAGAGCTTATTCTGGCTGAGGTGAGCAAATTTCACAGGCTCATAGTGATAAAAACAAAAGCTGTTCTCTTACAATGGGAAGCCAAGAAGGAAATTTTGCCAAATATATTTTTGTTGTTGTTGTTTTAAAATATTTTTAGTCCTAGATGGACATAATGCGTGTTGTTTGTTGTTGTTGTTGTTGTTGTTTTTAAAATATTTTTAGTTGTAGTGGACATAATGATTTTATTTTATTTATTTATTTTTGTGTGGTGCTGAGGATCTAATTCCGTGCCTCACACATGCTAGGCAAGAGCTCTACCACTGAGCCACAACCCCAGCCCATGTATCTAGTTTTTATAAAAGAAAATATCCTCTACTAAATTATAAACATATATGTGTATATATACAATTATTATAACAATCCAATAAAATTATACACACACTTGTAATGCTAAGATATACAGAAAATAGGATCTTTTGATAGTTATTCAACATGGCAGGAACCATATTCATCACAATAAGACTGCAGACTTCATTCCCTACTGCAGTTGGAGAAAGATAGCCCAGAARTGAAATGTATAACCTGAGCAGATTTCGGTGAAGTTTTATGTTATCAGTACACAGTGTATCTTCACAAATCAAAATCATTGCTTCTGACAACACAAAAAGCAACAAAAAATCTTTTAGATTGAACATTACCGTGTTAATTTAAAAAAAAAWTTTTAATGTATCTTAAAGAYTCAACTGTCAATTGGCATAATCACCATTTATTTAAAGTTTAGTAGGATGTTTGATAATTGTCACACCAACCAGTTCTGTGTAGATATATTAAGCTTAAATTTTAACTTAAGTAATACATATCAGCTTCCATTCTTTTTTTTCCCCCTGGGGATTGAACCCAGGGCCTCACTGATGCTAAGCTCAGGCTTTTCTACTGAGCTACACCCCCAGCAGGCCACAGTCCTTGCTTGTCCTCTTAATAGATTAAACATTTGATAGGGCCCATGTAAAATTATTGACTGCCCAGCACATTTATACTCTTTGTTGAGAAAAATAATACTTGATTATATGCAAAGTTTTGATTTTATAATGTTGATTAAATTTTKTATTCATAGACCACTTAAAAGAAAAACTGGATGACTACATTAAGATGTGGAATGGCCTAGTAAAGGTATTCCGAAATGAGAGAAGAGAAGGATTAATTCAAGCACGAAGTATTGGTGCTCAGAAGGCTAAACTTGGACAGGTAGGAAGCATATGCTATCCACAATGTCAATAGCTTGGATTTGGTAACTAAAAGATTATATAAATTTTTAATCACCCTTCAGGTTTTAAAAATGAAATGAGAATGCTGGCTTGAACAAATAACTACTGTGTCAAAATTGACTATAATGCTAATTTTTGTTAGCGTCTGATTTTAAATTGTGTGTGATTTGTGATGTACCATATGCAAGGAGTATTCTTTCACCCTGCCTCTTTTTTTTAAGGTTTTGATATACCTTGATGCCCACTGTGAGGTGGCAGTTAACTGGTATGCACCACTTGTAGCTCCCATTTCTAAGGACAGGTAACATTACCTTGCTTTTTTTCTTTCCTAGTTGAAAAGTAAACCTTGTCCTAGAAGGACAAATAATATTCTTTGATTCCACTTCTAGTTAGTACATCAAGTATTGGGTTTTAAGTGTTATCCTTGAGCTAGTTGTTTCCTTGGGTGGAACTTGGCTGATACTTTGGGTTGATTCAAATGAAGTCTGGTATTTGGGAAACTAGGTCGAGTCATCTTGTGATTCCATTACTGAGACTCCCTCTGATTCCAAAAACTTTCCTTAACAGAAATATTAGTTGCTCCTTCTAAACATGAACATGAGTTCTAGAGACTTGAAGAACCATGCTTTGAAATTGTACCTATTCTTTTTTAACACCCTTTTAAATTATTACCTTAGTTAGTAAGGACCAGCTATGACTTCTGTCAAGGCTTTGGGTTCCTATGGAAACTTTAAGGTTTAGAAATAGATAGCTATGCCATGGAAATGTGGTGCTCACCATTAAATCTCCAGAAATTTCTGAAACAGCAGAAGGCAGCGTAATTTCCTAGTTCCAAAAGCCTTTCTTGCTTCTCATCCAGAATTCTGGCTATTTCAGAATCTAGGAGAATGAGACATATCTCTTTTGTGAATGGCATGAGTCAGAGGAAGAACYTAGAATATTTTATCATCAGAGGATTTAAGATGAAGTCCTATAAAACATTTTTTTCACATGACTTAATCTTCACAGCAGCCCTGAAAGTTAGAGATCATTAGCTTCATTTATAGAAGTGGATCCTGAGGCTTAGGGAAATTAAGTAATTTGCCCTAGATTAGATAGCTAATAAACTACCAAACTGAGGTCTCTGAGCCATTTTAAATTGTACCATTTTTTTAGAAATGCGAAAAGCATGATTAGTGAGAAAAGATATAAATCAGGTATCAGATAACCAAGTTTGCCAGGGAGATGCTAGCAGTCTTCCTGACAATAAGAAAGTGGTTTTCCAAAGTTCCAGTGACAATYTCTTATATCCCACAGGGAACCTCCAGTGTGTGTTCATACTCTGGAAAGACTAAAGCCCACTTTTAGGATTTACTTGCCCGTATCAAGGTTCTAAGCCCCCAGAGAGTTTTCCTTTCTCTTGGTTTCTAAAGAAAACTGTAACCTGGTTATGGGAAGGTCCAATCTATGTTTTAGGAAATACATTTTAAAATCCTTTTCAACAATATGAGCATTGAAGCAAGCAAGGTACCAGATTACCTTTGTAATGTCAACTCTGTATCTGATTGGTTGCACAGTACTATCATTTTTATAATGTCCAAATAGAAAGAATTGGCTTTTTTCTCCTTTGTTCCAAATTCTTGCACCACTTAAGTTTTTAACAGATTTTGAGGGATTTTTTTTCTTGCTGTTTTTTTTTTTTTTAAAGCAGCAATACATTACAGAACCTTTATATTTGCAATAAAAGGTGGAGGGAAGGCAATTGAGTACAAGCACAAAAACACATTTTTATAAAAACTGCTTTCAAAGAAATAGCAACAAAGAGCTAGAAACCACTAATGATATGGCAACTATTATTAGCACATGCTCATGCACACACACATTTTTAATGGGGGACAGGGAGGAAGAATGACAGAAAGAAAAATCTTGTAAATAGTGCAAAATTACCAAGAGAAAGTTGCCACTAGCACCAAAGTGAAATGGAAAAAAAAAACACTATTAAACTCAATTGGCAAGGCCCTTTGTCCCTGAGGTTTGTCTGTAAGCCTAGGGGAAAGTCTCCTCTATCCTGTCCTTGCACTGATAGGCTCTTGGCTTGTGTGGAACATTCATTTGCTGTTTCCCCATTAGATATTAAAGTTCCCTAATGCAAAATAAACCAATTACAAAACAACAACAACAAAACTACAAAAAAGGACAATGTAGTTAGGCATGCTGAACTAGTCAGTTTGGGGTTCTTAAATGCTTCTTCATTTTCTGTAAATGTTTCAGAACTACATGTACTGTGCCTCTAATAGATTACATAGATGGGAATGATTATTCCATTGAACCACAGCAAGGTGGGGATGAAGATGGTTTTGCCCGAGGGGCCTGGGACTGGAGTTTACTRTGGAAACGTATCCCTCTAAGCCACAAGGAAAAGGCCAAAAGAAAACATAAAACTGAACCTTATCGGTAAAGATTATTACTTTTTTTTTTCAATGTTGAATGTTTATCTAAGTACTTTTTTTTCCTTCCCCATGAACTCATATAAATCTGTGGGTCCATACGTACGTTTCCATTTGATCTTTGCTGCCATCATCAACACAATACAGAACCATTTGCACTGTGCCGCTTATAGATGTCATAAATGGCAACACATATGAAATTGTACCCCAAGGGGGTGGTGATGAAGATGGGTATGCCCGAGGAGCATGGGATTGGAGTATGCTCTGGAAACGGGTGCCTCTGACCCCTCAAGAGAAGAGACTGAGAAAGACAAAAACTGAACCGTATCGGTAATCACTAAATCACTTACATATTTTTCTTTTCTCCAGTTGCTGCTAACCTATTAACTTCTTGGCAAGCTAAACATTTGTTGTTAAACCTGTAGATGCTGTCTCAGATTCTGAAAGAGCTTCTTTCCTTCCACTCTTTCAGAGCTTTGAATTCACATTTGCTCCTTTGTAATTGCTTTTACCCTAAATGCAAGCTCCACTATTCAATTATACTCTTTCATTGGGGAAAACAAATAATGTGAAACGATAAGGTAAAAAAAGAAAACCTTTACTGTCCTGTCCTATTAGACTAGATAACAAATTTTGTTCTCTTGATGACAATATCATCCTATAAATTTAAAATACATAAATTACTTACAATCTAAGATTCTAATTTCCACTTTGATGCCTTAGTGTGATGATAACAATGAAAGATACTAGCAAGAGATTTGGGAAGTTCCCTCCTTTTGTTTTATATGCTAACTCTTAAATATTAATTTTGCTCTGGTTAAATCTGATGAATAAAAATGCATCACTTTAGAAGATGTTACATAGACTCCCTATGGCTTCATTCTCAGAAGTGTACTTGATTAAAAGAAAACTCTGTTCCACAATCAGCTTTAGTCTCTTCTTGTGGTTCTTCAAGTAGAACAATTTATGCTACTCTCTTCTTTTTGATCTTTCAATTGGAACATTTTACTGTCTTTCAAAAAAGTGACCCCCAAATGAAATGTTTGCTAAATGTTAGTGCAGCTGTCTCCAAATTGTGTCTGTTTTTATTTTTTGACCCTATGGTTCTGCTTTCAGTTTCTTTCTCCCTGTTATGCTGCTGATAAATGTTAGAACTTTGTTTTGGGAAGATGYTTCAATGTTGTGGAAATGCTAATGGGATTTGGGCATGTCATGATATCAAGATACTGAATGGCAAACATAAGGAAATTACAAAACTTTAAGGTTTTTTGGGCATTCTCCAAATTTTCATTTGAAAATTTCTTACCCATAATACTTCAGGAATCTGCTGCTTACCTCCTTAACCTAACAAATAATTYTGGGGGAAAAAAATAAAGGATGCTGACTACATTTATGTTTCTGTTCATCCCACGGGCTGGTAAAGACCTTTTTAAAGCAAGCTAGAAAATTTAAGAGTGGTTTCCCTTTAACTAACTCACAAATTTCCACATAGCCCACTAAAACCAAGTTTTCAATTCTGAAAACATAATAACATATTCAAATATTATTTCAAAGTTACCATAACTGGTATATTTGTTGCTCAGTTTAAGTTTTATTTAGGTGTTTCACATCTGGGATGATGGGACCAATGGGTTAAAGCATTTTCAAATCTGTACTGAGATGGATGGGAATATATCTAAAAGCCAAATGAGCACATTTGTAGTGGAACAATTTTTAATGACAGATAAAGTATAACCAAAAATGTGATAGTACTGTGTATTTAGTTAGTATATTTTAAGAAGAAAAGGCATAGTAAAACGATTTTCTCTTGATGTGGTTTTCTGTTAGTATGGAAATATTATCTGATTCATTATCTACTCAACAAATATTGAGTACTTACTATGTGCCAGCCACTGTACATTTTAACAGATATCTTCCCTCATGAAACTTAAAATATAGCAGATAGAAATTGAACAGATTACTACACACACACACACACACACACACACAGAAAAACTGAAACAGCAACTATGATAAGTAGTATGAAAAAAATCACAGGTATGTGGAACTTAGGGAAAGGAAAACTTGATCCATCTAGAGGCCCCAGAAAGGCATCCCTGACAAAGTGTCATTGAGGCTGAGACTTTAAGGAGGAAGAACATTTAGGAGTATAAATAGCATGGTGAAGCCTCTGAGGCAAAGGCATGACCTAGCTAAGCTAAGAGCAGAGTGGCAAAGAGCTGGGTAGAGGGAGCTGGGTGAGCCTAGGCAGTGGGGAGGAATCATGGAGGCCCATGCAAAGGAGTCTGCTCTGGCTGCTGTGTGAATAGATTTGGATGGGGACAGAATAGAATAAAGGACACAATTTCTGGAGATTTGGCACAGTCCAAGCAGTGTTGGTGTAGTCTAGGGTGGTAGCAATGAAGTTGGAAAGAAGTAGACAGATTCAAAATTTTCCAGGTCGAATCAATATTATTCAGTGATTGGTTTAGTATTAGGTGTGATGACGAAGAAGGTACCTAAAGGTATGAAGTTCCCTAAAACTTAAGAATTGTGATGCATTAATAATTATTTTTTCCGTGGGAGTGGAAGGACATATAGCAGTATGAAAATTATTCCACTTTCATTTCTTCCAATAGTAGGAGTGACTTGACCCTAAAAATATACCCAGTCCTTTTTCTCTTGCCTCAAAATGTACCTAATTTAAGATCCATTCAAGAAGGCCCACAGATCACCCTTTTCATTTTGTACAGTAAATAGTAATGTGGAATTCTCCTGTGTCATTCCTACACTACATTTGCAAACTCTGAATGAACTGTGGCTGTTCTAGTGTGATTTACACTCTTATTTGGCAAGCCCTTGAGCTATAAAATTAAAAAATGACGGACTACTTCCATGGTGTATGGTTTCGTTCATCCCAGAATGACTCATAAATCATTGCAGGAGCAGTTAGCAAACCACGGCTGTGTGGCTCTGTGTTTCAGGAGTGAAAGAAATTTTTATTTTAACTAAAATGAAGGCCTAATTTTTAAATCAACAAAGAACCAAGGCGCCCTCTAATGGTAAAATGACACAATGCTCCAATTTGTGACAAACTAATTGGGTTTCAGAAATTTTGATAAATTCGCTAAGGAATTAGGAACAAGTTATTTTTGAAGGATTTATAATTTCTTAATGTTTGGCCATCAGTTTTGTCTCTTCTGTGCATATTTAGACTGTATTCCAAAAATCTTGTTTCTATTGGTAAAAGGATGTTGGGGGTTTGTCTTTAATGGTTATCTCAATGTTTTTCTTTCTTAGGTCCCCAGCCATGGCTGGTGGATTATTTGCTATTGAACGAGAGTTCTTCTTTGAACTGGGTCTGTATGATCCAGGTCTCCAGATTTGGGGTGGTGAAAACTTTGAGATCTCTTACAAGGTAATGTTTCATTTAAGTTATGCAGTTTTCTACAGTTACTGACTTTTGTGATTTTTCAGATAAAACTAGTTTCTTTGAAAAAAATCCATGTAATGCATTTCTCCAAATTATAAGGAATGACTTAACATACGTCTGGGGAAAAATAGAGCAAAATGCAAATTCTAAATTTATTTGTTTATAGAGCTTATTTCAAAATTGTGGCCAATAAGCTTCAGAAGTGGAAATAACCCCTTTCCTCACTCCCAGGCTTTCTGTACACTGGAGCCATGTATGATAGTAGCTCTTTGGAGAATCTGCATGTGTTAGGGCCATAGTTGACCATCCACTGACACAGTCACCCTTTATCACTGTAGGACATGATGAGCCAAGACAGAAGCAGATCCCCACAATGACTGTGCATCCTCAGACTGACATTGGAACTGTCTTCCTGCAGCACCTCCCCTGTTGAGGCAGTCCCCGAGCACTAATACCTTCCGCGCTCCAACCCCTACCTCAACACCCACTCCTATCCCCAATTTCCAAAAGAGAGAGAAAACTATATCACAGTTTGAGTTAAACAGGTATTCATTACCTCTTGTCTTAACTGTCCTGTGCTTTAGCACTGTGAGAAATAGAAGAGGAGTAAACTGGTCCTTGTTCTCAAGGAATTTACAGCTGATTTTAATTTCTAATACATTAAAAGGAGGAATGGCATTCACTTGGTGTTATTCATAAATAGCATTGTGCTGGAGGTAGAATTTGAGGCATAACTAGAAAGATGCAAATGATATCAGAGAACCGAGCAGAGAACAAGCGAGGAGGGGAGAGGGAGACCTGAGCAGATAGATTGGGAGAAGGTACAAATGTATGGACAGGAAGAGCACATTCAGGAAACAGTGAAGGGCAGTTTGGCAGAAGCAGGCAGCATGAATAAAGACATGTAAGAAGATAAAGTGGGCAAGAGGTTAGGGCCATATTAAAGAGTCTTTAATGCTGAGTTAAGAGATTCTTACCTAACTTTATAAGCAGTGGAGAACCATCAAAGATACTAAGCAAGGGAATAACATGACCCAAAGCTGCCCTTCAGCCACAGTAATCTCTTGCTATAAATAAGGATAGAGTTAAGTAGAGAGAGAAGGTGAAGATGTCAGTTAGGTTATTATAATAATCACCCAAGTAGGAAATATGTTAGCATTGAAAACACAGATGATATTAGGAATGAAGAATGTGCATTGTTTTGCAAGGTTATATTGAGAAAAAGTCTCTAAGGACTGCAAGCACACAGGAAGAGACCCCCTTAGCAGTTTTTTTGTTATATTCCCATTGCCTTCCTTGTTATTATAAGTTTTTTAAATGATCAATTATTTTAGGATTTGTTCAGCTTATGAATTCTGTGTGGACATTGTATCTAATTTAGATTTAAGATTTATACTTAGAAGACAAATTTTTAATTATAATGCATCTTTGCATTATAAACAACATGTGTTGTCTCTTGATAGATATGGCAATGTGGCGGCAAATTATTGTTTGTCCCTTGTTCTCGTGTTGGACACATCTACCGTCTTGAGGGCTGGCAAGGAAATCCTCCACCCCTTTATGTTGGGTCTTCTCCAACTCTAAAGGTGAGTAAACGAGAGAAGGATAGGATAGGATAGGATAGAGAACTAACATTTACAGACCACATGCTATTATAGTCAATTAACAAATGTCATCTCATTAAATATGGGGTACACCTCCTAAACAGTCATCCTGGTTCTCACCTTTAACTTAGGTTAGGCTTACTCTAATGAAATCTTATTATTCTGTAAGATTATTCACTGTACCCCATTTTTTTTAATTGACAAGTAAAAAGTGTATATATTTATGCTGTAGAACTTAATGTTTTGACTCATATACATTGTGCATTGAATAAATCAAGCTATTTAACGTTCATTACATAGCATATTTATCACTTTTTTGTGGTGAGAACACTAAAATTGATTTTCATGTGTACAGTATATTGTTATCAACTATAGTAACCATAGTATACAATAGATTTCTTGAACTTATTCCTCCTGTCAAATTGAAATTTTGTGTCTTTTGTCCAACATCTCCCCAATTTTCCTACCTACCTCAGACTTTATAGCCACTCTACTTCTATTTCAGCCTTGATAGCCACTCTATTTCACATTTTTTTTTCTTTTTTACTCCACATAGAGTGAAATCATGCAGTATTTGTCTCTCTGTGCCTGGTTTATTTCACGTAATATAATGATCTCCATATTGTTGCAGTTGACATGATTTCCTTAGTTTTAAAGGCTAAATATTCCATTGTATATGTCACACTTTCTTTATCCTTTTTTCAATTGATGGACACTTAGATTGATTTCATGTCTTGACTGTTATGAATAATTCTCAAATGAACACTAGGTACTACTCCTGATGTAAAACAGAAGTTAGCAACTGTGGTCCAGAGACCAAATMTAACCCATTTATAAAGTTATGTTGGAGTTCAGTCCCACTAATTTATTTACATATCATCTGACTACCTTCACCCTATACTAGCAGAATTGAGTAGTTGCCACAGAGATTATTTGGCCCACAAAGACAAAGATACTTGCTATCTGACCCTTTATAGAGAAAATTTGCTGACGTATAGTACAGAAAATCAAGGGATAGAACGAGTAAATGTCAGTTCATATATATTCATGCAGACATTCTTTCTATATAAAACCTTAGAAGTTAAGACAACGTCAGCTTATTACTCAATCTGAGGAAGTAACATTACAACATCAACTTATTTTTTTTCATAGTTGCTTTTCCTTACCATTTTATTGCTTTATAATTGTTTTTCCTTAATTTGGGACTATGGTAAAATGATTCAATTCTGATTGTTAAAAAAATAAAAATAAAACACAGTTTTATCAGGGGCGGGAGTTGTGGCTCAGTGGTAGAGCACTTGCCTAGCATGTGTGAGGCACTGGGTTTGATTCTCAGCACCACATTTAATAAATGAATAAAATAAAGGTTCATCAATATCTTAAAAAAAATTTTAAATATGTTTTATCAAACAGAGCTATTTTTTCATGATGGTTTCTAAAATGAGATTTTCCCCTATGCATACCAGTTGTGTGGTTTAATAGAAAGAGATTGTTCTGRGAGAAGGAGTACCAGTGCTCAGCCAAATTCTCAGGAATCCTCTGGGTTTCATTTTCTTCCTCTCTCGCCAGGAGAGAATACATTGACTTAAAATAAATGATCTTCAATTCAGGGATAGTATATTCTATGTACCTCAGTTTTTAGTTAAACATACGTGACATTTTTTATCTTGGCAAATGACATATTGGACTCATTAGCTCACTTGAATTCTTTGGTTTAATTAAATGCCAGGTTCTGTAGAAATGAGGTTGTTTGTTATATGTTTGTTGATCATACTTCATGTATCTAAAATGGTCTATTTATTCCATTACAATTGTTTTCAGTTTTCAAAATGATATTAATTTTCTTTTTCACAGAATTATGTTAGAGTGGTAGAGGTTTGGTGGGATGAGTATAAAGACTACTTCTATGCTAGTCGTCCTGAATCAAAGGCATTACCATATGGGGATATATCTGAGCTGAAAAAATTTCGAGAAGATCACAACTGCAAAAGCTTCAAATGGTTCATGGAAGAAATAGCTTATGACATCACCTCACACTACCCTTTGCCACCCAAAAATGTTGACTGGGGAGAAGTAAGTATCAACTAATATTCAGATCACAAAGTATGTGTGTTTGGGGTCTGCGTTTGGGAAAAAGGCAAAGAGAGATGAAAATGTGTGAGTTAAAGAAAAGAATTTGGAGGAAAAAGTTTGGCTAAAAACTGACTGGAAACATCTACCAGCTTACCAGTCAACACCCGTAGCTACCCTGAGATGTCTCTTCCCAGCCTCTGCACGTGTGGCTGCCCTGCCTGGAACACTGTGCCTCTTCTTCTCCATCTCCTGCCACTTCCCTGTCCCTCACTTCAATTCCCTTTCTTGACTGTTATCTTATTTTTCCCAACTTAGAGATGATGAATACTGAGAATAATTTCTTATTCTTACCCACTTCATCAGAAAGGCTTAGCTCTGTGATCTTTCCATGGGTTCTTCCAACACCCAAAATTGCCTATCCCCCAGCCATTCTTAAGTACTTCAGGACTTCTACCCCCAGTGTGCTATAATAATAAACTAATGCAGGAACCCAATATATAATGGGCACTTAAACAGTGCTTGTCAAATAAATTAATAATGATAATTAAAAGCTATTAAAATCAACCAAAGATATTAATGCTTGTTGTCATTTCTGTTTCTTCAGACTTGTCTTTTTAACCTCATTTCTGATTGTACTCACCCAAGTACCTTATACTGCTGCCTCACAGTTACCTTAAAAGTATCGTGAACTTTCAAGTCTATGTGCCCATGCTTATTTATGCATTCCGCAAATATTGGTTGAGGGCCTACTGTGTGTCAGTCATTCTTCGAGACAGAAAACCAGACAGGCAAGGCCCTTCGCTTCAGGGAACTTGTGGATAGAGACACCAAAACAAAATAGGAAAACAAAAAACAAAGATAATTGAGAGAGGTGGTGAGAGCTGCAAAAGGAAATAAACCTGGGGCGCTGTCAGGAGGAGTTGGGGGACAGGGTGAGGAAGGCCTCTCTGAGGAAGTACAATTAATCTGAGATCTGAATGTTAAAAGAGCAAGCACATCAGAGAGCCAGGGAAGAGTGTTACAGGTAAAGAAAATGTTGAGTTCCAAGGTTCCAGGTCAGGAAATGCTTTGCRTGTTTGGTAAGCAGAAAAGAGGAGATTAAATGAGACAGAAGTGGCAGGCATGTGAGAAGGAARGCCTTTATCCCAAGGGTGGTGAGAAGCCAGGGAGGATTTTAAACAAAAAGCTAATATGATTTGATTCATAGTTTATTTTTAATCACCCTGCTTGGAAATGTAGAGTAGAAATAAGGGTGTCTATGAGGAAATTGAACTATTTTGTTGGTAGTTCATTTCAGTACCTCCTCCTACCACACCTCTCTCTCCTGTACTCTTATTTCATCTCTCCAGTTACAGCAAATTGTGTTTGACTCCCAAGTGAAGCATAAGCTTTTGRGAGTTCAGACCACATTTTGGCTATCTTTTAATCTCTCGGAATTTCTTCTCTGTGAGAGGAATGAATTGTACTGATCTTATCTAGTCTCATGGCTTTAGCACTATCATTCTGTTGATGATTCTCAGATATGCATCTTCAACTCAAATCTCTCTCCTAGGACCCAGATAAGTATATTCAACTGTGTACTTGATGTCTCCACTTTAATGTCTAGCAGACATTCCAAACTCAATATACTTAAAATTGAACTCCATCTCTCCTTCCCCACCCCATCTCTGCTGATTGATTGTTCAAGCCAAAAACTTTAAACTCTTCTTTGAATCCTCGTACATTTCACATCCAGTTCCAGAATGTGATCCTTTCTTAATTTGGTCTAAGTCACCATCATCTCTGACCAATACTAAATTTTTGGACCTCCTAGAGCCTGTTCTAAACTGCAAGAACTCAGGGTGAGCCTTTTGAAATGCAAGTCAAGTCTCCCCTCTGTTGGAAAACCTGCAGTCACACCCCATTCTCTCAGGCAAAGGCAACCAACCTCCTCATTGATGGCCAAGGCCWGCACCTCTTGCCCTATTTCTCTCGCCTCACCTGCTCTGCACTCTCCACTCCACTCCAGTCCCATTGGCCTTGCTGGTCCTCAGGCTTCCTCCAGACTACTCCTGCCTTTGCTATTCCCTCTGCCCACACTGCTTTCTTTTAAACATCTGCAGACTTGTCTTAACTTGTGCACCTCCTTCAAGTTTGTACACTTGTCACCCTCTCAATGAGACTTACCATGTAGTACACCCCTCAGTTCGATAGCCCTTTCCCCACTTAACTTGCTGTTCTTTTCTTTTTTTCCCCCATGGCACTTATCCGTAATTAACATAATAATTTGACTATTATGGKGTTTTTGTTTTGTTTTTGCATGTAGTCTCTTTCCTTCCCTAGAAATGTGAGTCTGTTTTATTCACTGGAGTAGCAAACCTTACAACATGCTTGACACACAATAGGTATATACTTAGTATTTGATGAATGAGTAAATGCATGAATAGATGAGTGAATGGATGAATGGATGGATAGCATTTTCTGTCCTACTTTTACTATCTGATTTCTAAATTCATTTTCATTTCAACTCTCCCCATTCTGCCCTTTACACTTCATTTCTCAGCATTCCATGAACATTACAGGGTAAAACCCTGTCTATTCAAAAGATGTCTTTGTGATATGAAAGTAGAAGGGGGACTATTAGGCATGGACTGGGAGAGGGTCCCAGGAAAATTTAAGAGGGTAACAGGGTAGATATGATTGAAGTATGTTATATGCATGTATGAAAATATCACAAAGAAACCCATTATTTTGTACAGTTGCACTAATAATTATAATAAAAAATACCTCCTGGGCAGTCTTCAGAGCTCCTCAGGCAGGGTGAGAGACTGCTTCCTCCAGATCCTCACTACAGGCTGACACTTAGCCCTGTATCCCCTTACAGACTGTGAGGGTATGGAGGACCCTGACTTACACATCTTTGTATCTTCAAAAGCTCTTTCTTCATAGTACATAGTAAATATTTGCTGAATGAATCAATGTAACTTTTTATTCAAATACTATAGTGATGCATAATTGAGATAAATATATAGTATTTCCAAAGTAGTTATTTTGATACAAAGTTCCATTCCAGAGATGGAAATCTGTGTTTGCTTTTCATCTATATTATCCATAGTTAGAGAAAAACCTCACTGCCTGGCTTCTGTGCCATGATGTTTGCCTAGAGACTCCTGGAGACAACTAGGAAAAATAGTGCCCCAAGCTATCTGTGAGTTCTTACAAATCCACTTCTGCTCTAAATTCCTAGGGCCAGTGTCTGTTGCCAGTGTGGTAAGGTAGCTTTATTTTCTTTGTTTCTCATTCGTGTGAATTGTTATGATTCTGAAATTGTACTTATGGTATCATTTTATTTTTTTCCCCTGTGGTATTTTAAGGCCTGTACCCTTACTTGAGCTCATCCCAGTGTTGACTTCAAGATCAGAATTTCAAAGATGACTGGTTTGCTCAAAACAACTTAAAGACTGACAATGCCATAATAACCTGGCAATAGACACCCCTAGATTTCCCTTGCAAATTGCAATGTTTAACATGAAAATCTTTTACTCTGATATTAGGGCTTATTAAAGAACTAAAGCATTTCTTGCTTTTTGGTCCTTTGTTTATATTTTTAGATCAGAGGCTTTGAAACTGCTTACTGCATTGATAGCATGGGAAAAACAAATGGAGGTATTGTTGAACTTGGACCCTGCCACAGGATGGGAGGAAATCAGGTACATCACCTTCTTTTGCATATACATTGGTCAGCATAGAGAGATGCAGGGTTTATTGATCACAGGATTTAGTTTTGTTTTCAGTTTGATTTTTGTTTTCTCCTGTCCAAGGATCAAACCTAGGGTTTCATGCATACTAGGAGAACGCTCCACCACTGAGCTGCATCCCCAAGCCCAGTATTTTTGTTTTGATAAAATAAAACATTCTTTAAAGAATTGACAATGTTAAAACATTCACTTAAGTAAGGGAATAATAGCAGTCTTGGACATAACAAGCAGAATCTAGGAGTGATGTCTATATGTAAGAGATTAAAATATTTTCTGAGTAGGTACTTGTCACTTCAATAAAGTAGAGTATTACTGACAGTAATGTATTTTACTAATATATTTTCTTACTACCTTATTTGGGTATTTTTCTTATGTCTAATTTAGATTATGAAATATTATCAGGTCTTTACAATTTTTCATTTTCTCACATGATAATACATAATAAGTATGTGTTAATGACCCATTCTGTATTTTAGAGGCTAAAGAACACAATTGTTTAAGTGTTTACAGAGATTTTCACCAACTTCAGCCTGYGGAATAACAGTTCCAAACACACAAAACTATAAAGCAATAAGTTAGTTATTCAGCTTAATTATAGGAATTTAATTTCTTCCTTTCTTCCTTGCTTCCCTCCCTCTTCTCCCTTTCCTTCCTTTCTTCCTTTTTTTTTCTTCTTTTTTTGTAAAGTGCATATGAGTAGGGAAGTTGCCTCCGTTATTTGTTTCCTTTTTTTTTTTATTCTTAATAGCTTTTCCGAATCAATGAAGCAAATCAGCTCATGCAGTATGACCAGTGTTTGGCAAAAGGGCCTGATGGAACAAAAGTTATGATTATGCACTGTAATCTAAATGAATTTAAGGAATGGCAGTACTTCAAGGTATTGTTTCAACTCTTAAAATATTGTTTTTATGCTGTTTGATTTTCAATAGCAACTAGCATGGAATTTAGATGTATAAATCTTAAAACCTACATACAAATTGACTTGCATTTTCCTCTCATTTAGTCATTTGAACAGGTTCTCCTGAGTACTGGGTGAATTATTGTTTTATAATGAGGCATCACTTTTATTCTCTGATAAAATATTGTCATATAATGAGGTCACAGTGATGTTCATGAAAACCTACTGCTATAACTCAGGGAAATCAGTATTCTAGAAGTAATCCTCACCATTGTTCTAGGCTCAAAGTTGGATTTTTAAAATCTAAATGAGTCATTCACTAAAGTAAAATGTATTAATACCATAAAAAATGTGTGGTTAGTATTTCATGTCRTCCAGCAGGTGGAGATAGAGACAAACATATAAAACTAAGATGCTTAAGCCTTCTCTGCTTCCTTATCATTGTTTGCTAATTAAAAACAACAGGATAAATGTATCTATTTGCTTGTATTAAAGGTCGGATTTATTCACATGACATTTCTGGGACAGTTTTTCTGTTTCAGCTGTGTCTGTTTAATGCTCTAGGACAAGGTGAGGATCAAACATAAATTATGAATAATCAAAGTGAGTTATGGATTGTTTTCACAATCTAGATTTGACTACAATAAACCAATTTATTATGAGATAAAACATTTGGAATGCTTTTTCAAACTGAAAGAACATGGCAACACTCAACTTTACTCATCTAATATTTGTTATCATACCCCATCTGTCGTGCAAGCACTTATTTGCTATGTAGTAATAATATTATGACCCATCTTAATAATTCCCAGTTATCATCTTTCATAGATAATAAACAAACGTGGTAAATATGTGTCAATTACTCTTTTCCCTTATAACAAGTTAAGAAATAGATTAACAAACCATGAAGAACAGAGCATTTATTTTCATAAAGAAAAATGAATAGAAGTAAATGGTAGAGATCAGTGAGAACAATATTAGTATAATAGTAGAAGAAGCCTAGTAGACCAGAAATAACCATCAAAAAGTAATGGAGAGGGGTAGGGAGTGTGGCTCAGTGGTAGAGCAGAGCCCTGGGCTCATTCCCCAACACCATTAAAAAAAAAAAAGTGATGGATAAAAAATGGAATATATATTGTTTTAGATATTTTAAAGGAGACTGAATTAAATGCACTTTTGTACATCAGACTCTGCTAAGTCTTTGCTAATGTTCAATGACACAATAGATGGTCTGAGAGTTTGAAAAATAGCCACACACTATGCTATAATGTCAGAGAAGAAAAATTCAGTAATAAAAATAAGCAAAATGTCATCAGAGTGCAAAGGAGAGATTAATAGAAGTAATTATTTCTGACAATTTTCACAGAGGAAGTATTATTGCACCGGATCTGAAATATACAAAAAGCTTCCCATGGAAATCCAAGTGTGGTGGTACTTACCTGTAATCCTACAAACTCAGAAAACTGAGGCAGTAGGATTCCAAATTAAAGGGGAGCCTCAGCTACTTAGTAAGACTAAGCAACTTAGTAAGACCCTCTCTCAAAATAAAAAAAAGTAGAAAGGTCTGGGGTTGTGGCTCAGTGATAAAGTGACCCTGGATTCAATCCCCAAACCCCACTTCCCAAAAGAAAAAAGCTTCCCATGGAAGATAAATAAGAAAAGTAGATGTGCAGAGGTATGCCATCAAAATATATAGGAAATTCTGAGAATCTCATTTTGTTTGGTATCCGTAAATTATGCACTATCAGAAAGAACATTGAACTTCATTTTGTCAGTTTTGGAGAGTGATTGAGATTATTTGAGAAAGATAATAATAGGAAACAATGGATATTTTCAGGAAAATAATCCTGAAAAATACTGCAAGATATGAACTGATGGAGCAAGGTCAGCTCCAGCAGCAATTCTCAAACTTTCTGATCTCTGGACTTTCTTTACAATCTTCAAAATTATTGAAACTCCCTCTCAAACAGCTTTTGTTTAGGTAGATTATCACTAATAATATTTCCAGCATTAGAAATTAAATCTGAGAAATTTGTAAAATTTTTTGTTTTAAGTCATGTAAAAGTAAGACTAATCACCTTATTACATGGTAATATAAATACCATATTTTAAATGAAAAATATACACACATGCAAATAGAAGAATATTATAGTCTAGAGTTTTRTAAATCCCTTTAATATCTGGTTTATAGACGGCAGCTAGATTCATATTGCTTCTGTATTCAAATGAAATTTGTTAAGTTGACATACAAGAGGAAAATCCTGCCACACACACAAACATGCAGTTTGAGAGAGAGGGATAATTTAATAATCTTTTCAGAAAATTGTGACTGTTCTTTGTTACTGCACTGCAATTCAATAATTGATAGTTAGAAAGTTATTGACAGTGTAGAATCTGAAATCATATCACTGAAATTTTGTTGTGTTTTAAACATTAAAATCCATTGGTCTTCCTTATGTTCTTTTAAACAAGGGATTAATTTTATTTTCCCACAGGATCTTTATATATATATATATATAAAGATACAACACATCACAACCTTGCAATCTTCCAGCATGACCTGTTTCTACAAGAAGCATGCCAGACCATAAGACTTTGTAGCAGAGTCTTTAAGAGCATTCAGTTGAGAAAAATAGAAAAGGCAGATCTCAGGGAAGCCTGGGCAAGCCCAAAGGCTGAGCTGCATCCTGTACTCTAAAGCAGTCCTTATCTTTTCAGATCTTTCTATGTTTTCTTATTCACAACATTCCCACTGGAGTGTTCATACTCTTCCTCAGTGTCAGGCTGCCATCTTTCTGAAGCCTTCTGCAGTTTCAACTTTGCCCACAGGGAGCCGGCATCTTCAATCTGTGTCACATTAGCAAAGTGGGCATTGTTTAGGGTGCCCAAACACCTTATTCCATGGGCATGATGCCATTCACAAAGTGCCCCTGAAAGGCCTTGAAATTGAATCTTTTATCCATATGAGCTTTAAACATCATGCATTGCTCACTTAGAAACAATTTTTACTAAGTTACATAAATCTTTCAAATGTTAATACATTTCATTGTACAATGTCCAAAAATCACAAATATAACCACTATTGGTTTCATCAAAAATGTCTTTTTGTGAAGCTGTCAGTTTCTTATGGTGATGGATACAGGTTTTCCAAAACTCAAGTTTTGCTTGCAGACTCAAATTTTATCAATTACAACAGATACTGTCAGGTGTTTTTTTTCTTCTTCTTCTTCCTTGAAGTGACAGGTTCACTTCAGTTTTGAGAAAATCTCTACCCATTACCCAAGTTTGAATAATCATAGTTTGTTGATGAATCATTCTTTCAAGTAACAGTGACATTTCAATAAAAAAAAAAAAACAACAACAGGTAGTTCATCCCTCACATCAGTTATACAAGTGCTTGTCCAGAAAATACCATTGTACTTTATTGTGTAGAAATATTTGATACATACTTCCCATTCCATCTCTTGGAGTAGTTTTGAACAATAGACTTGAGGTTCAAGATTTAATAAGATTAATAAGTGTTAACCACTTAACCAAAGCAATTCTTAAACAAAACCAAGATTGTTTTTTTAACTGTATGTGGCAGTGAAAAATATGACTACTAGCATATTTGGGTGTCATTGCTTGATTTATGCTAAGGCTCCAGTGGTTTTACTCCATTGCTTTTATTCCAATGGTGTAAATGTCAATACATTGAAAAGGTAAATGAGTTCTTAGTATTCTGAAAATAGTTTTCACCTTAAAGATCTAATCTTGGATAGTCTGCAGACCATGAGAAACACTTGAGTTATAGTAAAACAACTTACAACGTATGATGAAAACTAATATAAGGTATAGTCAGTAGGGATGAGAAGGAAAAAAATATAAACCAGAAACATTACAAATATCAGTTCTTGATAACTGGTGTAACACAAACAAATGAAGAAAAGTGCAGTATTTCCTGAGGACTGGAAAGTGGTATTGTCATTTTTGCCCAGAATAGGAACTCAAAGTAGTAGACTTAAGGGTAAAGATGATGAATTTAGGATTGTACACATTGAATTTGATGTACCAGCAATATGTTAAGACTTAACAGACAATAAAAGGACCTAGAAATCTGACAATCAAGAAAAATCCAAAGTCTGAGGTGTGGTAGGCTTGAAAGATTTCCTTATGAAAGCCAGATATTGACTGCTAATAGCAGGGCTATCAAAAGAGTCCAAATTTAAAACTCATTTTTCCTTATTGTGTTTTCCAGAACCTGCACAGATTTACTCACATTCCTTCAGGAAAGTGCTTGGATCGCTCCGAGGTCCTACATCAAGTGTTCATCTCTAATTGTGACTCTAGTAAAATGACTCAAAAGTGGGAAATGAATAATATCCACAGTGTTTAGAAAGAATAAAAGAAACCAATAATCTACCTACTGACAAGTAAATTTATACAGGACTGAAAACCGCCTGAAACCTGCTGCAACAATTATTATTAACTCTGTACAGCTCCAAACCTGGAACCTCCTGATCAGTTTGAAGGACATCGATAAACTGTGATTTTACAATAACATTATCATCTGCAGTTACTGTTTACAAAACTGCTTTTACCTTAAACTTTGTAGATGTTTACATCTTTTTTGTTTTGTTTTAAGATGATGTTGGTAATTTGTGCCTTTAACTCTGTTTTGTGGGAACAGAGTTAAAAGCATGTCGTCTTCTTTGGGATTACACTCAGGGGTCTGAAAGGCAGTTTGATTTTTTTTTTTTTTAAACACTTGAAAAAAGGTTGTAGTAACCAGACTTTCATATATAACTTGGTGATTATCAACCTCTTGTGTCTTTATTTAATTTTACATCTTTTTGAAGCACTGCCACAGGTTATTAGCCAAGGTGGCCTTCCTTCACAGTCATGCTGCTTTTTTGAAAGGTGAATTTCAACACATTTAGTGCCTCTTTCATTTCTCAGTATATTTTTCAAGACCTTTTGATGAAATTTATAGGATGGTAATGATGGAATGAATTGTCACCTGTATCAGGAATACTTAGACTTCTCAGAAATGAATTTGTGTGCTGCCATTTGCTATGAAGTTGAATGTTATGTGGCTTGAGTAAGAAATGATGATATGTAACATCTTAAGGCTTTAGTACATGGGGTTTGAAAATTGTGTGGCATTAACTCCCACCCAGACCTGCTGGCATTCTCAGTGCCATCTGTCCATGCCAACTCTTAGGGTAGCAAAGGGATCTTCCAACTAGAGAAAAATTGTACTCCTACATTTAGGATTTACTTTTCCCCAGTACCTGTTGATACAGAAAGCTATAAATAAATCTAAGTTTTGAAACTTGGGCAGGGCGGGGGATACCCAAAATAATAAAACACTGCTATAATAAACACGTCAAAGGTTCATTCTGGCTGAGGTAAGAATTTCTAAGCCCTTTTTAGATTAAGCCTTATAAAACTCCTGTGCATTACATCCTAAGTTGTGTAACCTATGAAACCAAGAGTGAATTGATATTTCATTTATCTTCATCCAAATGAAATTCCCTATATATATTTTAAATTAAATTACTAAGAATACCACTCATTAACAATTGTGAACTACTTTCTGTTGAATCGGGTATTAATTCTCTTTTATTTCTTAATTTCTTTTTTAGTAAGTGTATTTTTATTAGCATTTTTCCAGTGAAAAGATTTGCTTAGGTTTAAACATTTATTAGGACAGTACCTACTAAAGGAGAACCAAATACTGCAAATAGTCTATTCAATTTTGATGTCTAAATAAAGTCTTTTATTACCCAAAAGATTAAAATGCCTAGGTTGGGTGCTTAAAAAATGTGATAAGGTGGAAAATGGCAAGTAAATTAAGCATTTTTGATCTGTAATCATGGTATCATTACAGTGAAAGGAATTAAAAAACTACTGCCATGGAGAAATATTTTTAAAGCCTAAAAAAGAAAAGAATCCTACATTTGTTTAAAAGAAAAGCCTACGTATTTGTTTCATCCAAACTTAGTTCTTAAATTTGGAGAGTAAAAGTTAAACATCCTAAACAGTTTTATTCAAAATTTTGAGTTTTTAGTTTGTATTTTGCTACTGATCTGTGGTCAGCCATTTTAATGTTCATCCATTTCTAGGGATATTTAAAAAGAAATACATTTATATGCTTATATAATTGCAAAATCAACTATAAAAAAGAAACCAAGAGAGAATTGAATTGGTACTTTAATTACTTTTGTGTTGGCAAATAGGCCCCATTTTCCATGTTGAATAGATTATAACCTTGTTATCTATGCATAGGCCTAAGAAAGGTGGCACATGAACTGTGCATGTAGTTTTATGGGTAAATTAAATGTTTTTTTTTTTTGTGCAATTCGTTAAAAGAAGATACTCTATGAACATGATTCTATATATTGAAATCAGAAACCTTACCAAACGTGAAAAACATCAGAAGCTGCTGCCATAATGACTATTTTCTACTRTAGGCTGCTTTGGAAATAATTCTCATATCCTTGCTTTGTAAGTTGATAATATCACTATGCATTTCTACACATTTTATAAATTTGATTTATGCAGATTTTGATACACTGTATGTTTCTGTAGAAATTGTACAAATATTCAAAATTTTATTAGGGTAAATTTGAGAAGCTTATGTATATCCTAATTCTGGGTTGCTTGTTTTTTAGGTGAGAAAAAATAAAATATTGTATTTTAACCCATGGTGTTTTTCAGTATTTGTAATCATTTCTAAATCTACACATTTTAAAGAATTAGTTTAATTTACAAGATATACTGTTTACAGCTAAAATATTTCAAACCATAGTTACTAGTTGACTTTGTGCTTGAGTGTTGAGTTAGAATTCTGCTGCATGTGCTTAGAATACTCAGCGCTTACCTGTCTATAGGAAGGAAGCAAATTTTTTTTAAAAAAATTTACATATTACAAGTTTTATAATCATCCAAATGTTGCAAATATAAAGGTTTCTTTTTACAATTCTAGTTACCTGTGAGTGGCAATTTTTTAAGTCACCTATCCAATTATAAAGTATAATCCCAGTAAGCTATATCTTTCTTGGTAATGTATTCTACTATATAATTGCCTATTGAAAGTGAAAGTGTCTTTAAATCAAAATTCTTTACAACCAAACAGATCAAGTGAGAAGAGAAGGGAAGCATACGAGAATGAAATTAGAAATAATGCATAAGACCTTGTGGTGCAAAACATGCCATCCCAAGAGAAAACATGGCTGCTAACTGATTCAAGTAAGTAGCTTTGTTGACTTGGGACCTTCCAACTCATTTGCCTGTTTCATGTCTTTCAATTCTTCGCTGCTGTAGGGATAGGCTAGGAAATTTGAAAAGTGACAGCACTAGACTGGAATAAATGGAGACTCACTTACTTCATAAGATAGTCTCTTACAGCAATCTTGGAATATATTTCATTTCCAGGGAAAATGTAATTGGAAAAGAATCCACCTGTAATTCAATGTAATTCAAAAACATGACAGCTACCTGACCTGAGCCAGRTATTTAATAGTAGTTTAGGAATATGAAAATCAGTCCATGTGAAGGCACTTTTTAAAAATATAAAGCACTAAGAAAATATTATTCATTAGAATCAATCTGTGTGAAAATGGACAAAATTGGAATGGATTTTGAGGACCATTATCCCTGCAAGTGGAGAATAAAGAAAGGACTGTTTCTAAATTAGATTCAATAATTGCTCTACAATTCTCATTTTTAAGATTTTGAAATGCTCATAGTTGAGGTTAGYAGATTTCAACTTCTGAGTGAATTACACCTGGTTCAGTACATCTGAACAGAAGTGTGACAGAGGGCTCCTTAACTTTTAGTATAGTCTGCTCATCTGAATGGTAGTATAATATAGTTTAATAGGGTGGACTCCAAAGTCTGACCGTTTGTATTCGAATCCCTGTTCCACTACAAAATACTTGGGTGAGTTATTTAACCTCTGTACTAACAGTTTGCTTGTTTATAAAATGAGGGAAATAATAGTGCCTATTTTAGAGGGTTGTTATTAGTATTAAATGAGTTAATATAAAGTTCATATAAAGTTTCTGGAATACAGTCAAGGTAATATGTTAACTATTATTATCTGGTTTCAAAGTCTTAAAATCTGTCTTTAATCAGAATAAGAAGATGGCTACACTGCAGACCTCTAGAAAAGCTGTGTGTGTATGCCTGTGTTTCAAAACCATATGTCATATATCATTACCCCTACTTTATAAGTGAAAATTAACCTCAAAAGTTAAAGAAACTAGAGGTAAGATGGTTTCCAAAAGAAATTACTGTCTCAGCCTCATGTCATTCACATGATAAGCAGAAAGTAGTTTTCAGTGGTCCAATTCAACTCTTAGATAACCAAGTGCCATCTTGAAAGTTGTCTTAAGACACTGTGCCCTTTAAATTATCTTTATATGAAATTTCACTTGGGATTTTCATATGGGTAAATAAGATGGGCTCAGCAGTGCTCACAAGTAATCCCAACAACTCTGAAGTAAGTCTGAGGCAGGAAGTTCTTAAGTTCAAAGCCAGCCTCAGCAACTTAGTGGGACTCCGCTGCCTCAAAATAATMATCTTTTTTAAAGGTCCAAGAATGTAGCTCAGTGGCAAAGCACCCCTGGGTTCAATCCTCAGTACAAAAAAAAAATCTTTTTAAGTATGGGTAATCATACTCCAAATTAATTTAGATTAATTTAAGATTCAATCAAATTTTTTTTTTTTTTTTTTTGTACTGGGCATGGAATCTATTGAGCTACATCCCCAGTCCTTTTTACTTCTTTGAGGCAGGGTCTAAGTTGCTGAGGCTGGCCTTAAACTCATGATTCGCTTGCTTTAACCTCTTGAGTCTTTAGGATTACAGGTGTGTGCCACCATGGTGGGCTCAAAACTAAATAGTAGAAAATAGCTATGACATAGTAATTGGTATTGACATTACCCTGGCTATTCTAAACAACTCTAAAACTGGACAAAATATATAGGGGCAACTGTTTTTAGGAATTGGTTTACAGACAAACTTTTTAAAAAGGGAAATGGGGTGAAAYCCAGGTTCACTATGTCTAAGAGAATTTCTCCACCGTGGTATAACAAATGGATAATGGAGCTCAAGAATGATGATACTGCTGAGCTGAGCAAGAAAAGTGGGSGTTTGGGGTTGTTAAAGCTGATGGAATTTCTCAGGGAAGTTAGTGAAGGTGAGTCCTTTTGTGTATTAGCTGACCTGTACAGGAATTTTATAGTGCTGCCATTTGTAATAGCATAATAATAATAATAACCTGAATACCCATTGAAAGGAGAATGGATGAATTATGGTAAAACAGAAATATTACAGTGATGAACATGAATGGACTAGATATAAACAGTCTTAGTAATACTATGTTAAGTGAAAAAGGCAATTCCTCAAGTACTCCATTCAGCACTCTTTATAAATACTAAGTGACTAAAATTAAATATACAGTAAGTTGTATGTTTATACAAGAGGTTAAATAATTGTAAGTTCACAAATTTCATGTTGGGGTTAAGGACATAAATCCTGTACTTGATATCCCCAGAACCCTGTGGTAGGAATTTCTATTTAATGCTGAGAAAAACTCTTAAAGAACGTCTTCCATGATTATTTTTCCTACCCACATTGATGGACAAAAATCTCAGAAGTGAATCTAATTACTCTATCGTACATCTATACATTGTGTGTGTGCGCTCRTGTATACACACACATGTACAAAAAAAGTATATATATTTATACACATAGGTATATTCATATATAGATGTCTGTAGATAGATGGATAGAACCATCAATTGATTGATCTACTTGTTTGAGCTAAATAGTGGCTGTCCACTTTGCCCTGGGCATTATATGCTTACAAATATGCATAGAACACTTTGTGACACAGGGGTAYAGCAGTATAAAAATTTTTAATAAATTTCTATAAAATAAAAATTTTATTTGCCCAAGAGTTTTCTTGTATGCTCCTTAGTTCACCACATACAAGCTTTTTTCTGGTCTGGGTTTTTATGTTTCCTATGAGTAAATATCCTCTCCCTAAAAATGCCATCATCTCATGAGGAACTCTCATGAAGAACTAATCCAAAAATGGCTTGCTTGTGTGTGTGCACAAGTGTCCACAAACTTTGCACCCARGGCTTTGGGTGCTAAGCAAGTGCTCTACCACTGAGCTACACCCCCACTCCCTAAAAATGGCTTATTTCTAAAAGGTTATTTTCTTTTTAAAAGGAGCTTCTGCGGTGGCATAATAGCTCCTTTAATTTTCTTGCTATTCCCCAAGAAATAAAATCATTTCTAGTGATATATGTAGTAATGGGAAGTCAGATTTAGGATACTGTTGTATTTATACTATTGTAAGATAAGCTATTTACTATTCATCGAAAATGATGCTGTTAAAAGGCAAAATATTTTTTAAAGCGTACTATTAACTCACCAAGTTTGCAGTATGTGCTTTGATGTATAAAGGACCATAGGGTCTTCTAGCCCAGTGCCCTATTACAAGTTAAAAGACCAAAACTAGTGGCTGACATTGGGGAAGAAATAAATCTGAGCCTTTATCTCAGTCTTTGCACTCATTTCAGGAGGACCAAATATTTAAATTTTAAAAAAGAAAAACCAAAGTTTTTGTTGTTGTTGTAATCTGAATAGGAAAGAACTCTGAAAACCATGAAAGAACTGAAACATTTGACTACAGAGAAATAAGAAATCTTCATGAAAAAAGTACCAAAAGTCAAAGAAATATTTACATGTCATAAAAGATCCTTTTCCTTCATATTAAATAAACTATGAATAACAAGACCAATCAGACAAAAAAAGATCACAGATCAAGAGAAAACACAATTGGCTCTTAAATGTAGTAAAAAATAACAGGAGAAAACATTTTTATATATCACAATAAGGGACTAAAAAGTTTGAGAATTATGTTGATGAGGAAACCAGTCACTGCAAAACATATAAAAGGTGGAGTATATTTAGCACACCTTCTATGGAGAGCAATTTTAGCAGGCTTCAGCAAGAAGCCTGAGAGAAAACAAAGCACAAAGACAGTTTCTACCAGATCCTATGTATGGGGTTTGGTTTTTATAATTAGCAATTTTTTTAAATATGCATGCCTTTTACCTAGCTACTCCTTATAGGATTCTTTCATGTGTGAAATCACAAGGATAGTCACAGCAACATTGTTCTTAAAGAAAAAAAAAAAATACAATATCTATTCGGTTGCATACTGCAGTTAGCTATTTAATATGCCAACTGTCATACTAAAAAGTTACCAACAATGTTAAGAACTACGTATTTAGATATATGCATCTAGATGTATACATACACCGTTATTTATGGTTACACCTTTATTGGATAAAGTATTGCATCACTGGAGTTATCCAAGTTAATAGTCTGGAACAGTATAGCTGGGACTTAATAAGATGAACTATCCTCTCATATCTACCCTTTTACATTTTGTACCATTTAAATATGACCTATTTATAAAGCTTACATAAACATACCTCCAATTAGTAGCTAGTCTAGAAGAGAATTTTWAAAATTACTCATTTCAATGCTTTCATATATCTTTTAGTCACCTAGTTGCAATTATTGAGAACTTGTTTAGTCTCTCAGATCTGAAATTTTTATTTCAAACATGAGCTAGGCAGGGCCCATTTCAAATCCTGATTGGCTATTGATTCAAATGGGTGTTCTTAAACTACAAACAACAGAATGTCAGTATCCCAAAGTTAGGGGACAAGAAACTCAATAGGACAGCATTGTGGGTCTAATCTATAGATATGGAAATTAAGTAAACACAAAATTTCTCTGTTTAGATTTTAACAACTTCCCATCTTTTCTGTGCATTAGGTGCTGTTTTCAAGTACTTTACAAAATTTTCATCATTAAAACACTGTGAAWTAAGTATTTATCCCATATTACAAATGGGAAAAAATAGGCTCAAAAGTTCCTACTTCTATAAAGCCCTACACCAGGGTATGCATCTGAAATACATTACCCCAAATACTTTAATTGTACTAAGTCACCGACACCTGAAAACAAATTCTTATTTTATGATCAGTGAAAATCCTGCCAGGTAAGGTAGTRCACACCTGTAATCCCAGCCACTCACAAAACTGAGACAGGGTTGCAAGTTTAAGACCAATCTCAGCTACTTAGCAAGACCCTAAAGTCGTACTGAGACCCTGCCTCTAAACAAAACAAAAATGGGCTGGGGACATGACTCAGTGGTTAAGTGACCCTGGGTTCAATCCTATATCAAAAAGAAAAAAAAAAACACCAAACTTAGGTAATCAAGATAGTCAAACTGTCAACAAAGACTTCTGTAGGTAGGCATTTAGTCCATAGATGATCAACTTTCACTAATACCTCTAATATCAACTTACAAGTTAACTGTTGCCTCCTCAAGTAAGCATTCCTAAAATAAATGCCATCCCCTATAARTACAAATTCTAGTGAAATTTAGTCAGGGAATATCACAATCAAATACTTCTTAGGCTAGTTACCTAAAATTCTAGACTTAAGACCCAAGATTTCAGATATAATTCAAAATCTACTGGGGTATTCTACCTTTAACTTAATAAAAAGCTAAAATTTTTATAATTTTTTWAAAAAAATCAAATGTGTACATTTTAGAATTCACCACCCTAGCTACATAAAATTTCTGAAGGCCAGAGCAGGTAAGGGACAAGTTACTTAATAAATGAATATAAGCATCAAGCACAAAGTGTAATCTTTCTTTGAAAACAAAGTTCATTAAACTTCTTAAAGCGTATTAAATTCCAGATCTGAATTTCAAAGTTTAAAACATTTTACTAATTCTACTATTACCTAAGAACTATTGGGCATAATTTTTTTTTTCAAAAGGGAAAACTAATTTAGCGTATTAAGACAAAGACAATAGGAATAATATACATAATTTTATTACAAATTTTTTTAAAAAAAAAAAAAACAAAATGCAACATCCTAAAAAACCCAAAATTTACTAATTCCTATCAGTTTGCTGTGCTACCATACACAAGAAATTAAAGAAACCATTAAATATTTAGGAACATTCAACATCAGAAGCTTTAAAATCTAACTGTATGTAGTAGCCCTTCAAAAAGCTACAATCTGCATTTTTAAAAAAGTATTTTCTCTACAAAGAATCTTAGCAACTATACAAAAATCTGTACAGTTTTTATACTGAAGCTAATGTTGAGCTGCACTTGAATTCACATTCTTAGCAAAACAGTTGCCTGAGCACACACACACACTCCACACACATCATTACAGGACAGCCACTTATTCTTCATCCTCCTCCTCTTCCTCATCATCTTCATCCTCCTCCTCTTCTTCCTCTTCCTCTTCATCTTCTGGTTCACTCTTCTTCTTTGAGCCTGTTGGCCTACCAGGGCCCTTCTTTCCTGCTTCACTCTTGCCCTTAGCACGGTATGCAGCAATATCCTGAAATATTGTCAAAATAATATAATCAACATCCGGTGTCATTACTCAACTCTGAAAAACCACTTCATTGTAAAAAATCTTAAAACTACTGACCAATAACCTTGATAGCTGTCTACATAGGTATTCAGAGTCTACCTTACTTTGGGGAATATTTGTTTGCTTTAGACTTTCGGAAACCAAATGGTGTAAAAAATGGGAGTTGGTCAGTGAGTGCTTTTGCTACCAATATTCATTTACATCACACATTTCCCTGCCAACTTCACATTCTGAATACATCTACACAAAATATTTGGCCCTCCAACTTCTTAAAACAGACTTATCTAACTACAAATGAGAACATATGTAGGAAATTTCACAGTGCTACAAACATTGCTTTCAGTCAAAGGAAGAAAGGCCTCAATGAGCTTGTTGCTTAATTGGACAAATTCCATTAAGGCTCTTCTTAATGTAACTGATGACCATTAACATAAGATTGCCTGAATTTCCCAACTTTCTACAGTTCATATCTAACATACTTTTAAAAAAAACAATGTCTACCTCATTTTAACCTCTTTTTAAGACTACCACAATATACCTTCTCATATTTCTCCTTTAGCTTAGCTGCTTTCTGTTCGTATGGCTGTTTATCTTTGGCTGACTGCTCAGACCACATTTCACCCAATTTTTTTGCAGTATCCCCAATGGACAGGCCTGGGTGTTCACTTTTGATCTTTGGGCGATGTTCAGAGCAAAACAGGAAGAAGGCAGATCTGAAAGAAAGCAACAGGGTTAATAAAGCAAAAATAAAAATCGAAGGGATAGTTTGGTTAATTTAAAATAAACTTACGGTGGTCTCTTAGGAGCGTTGGGATCTTTTTTCTTTCCTTTCTTATCACCTTTGGGAGGAACATAATTTTTCATCTCCCTGTCATAGCGAGCTTTGTCACTTTTTGCCATATCTTCAAACTTCGACTTCTCCTTTGCAGACATGGTCTATGAGCATAGAATGAGGAGTACAAACACAGCAGTTTTGTAAGCTATAGACATCCAAAAAAGATTAAGAGCATCTTTAAGGATCACATTTCCTTRGTTAACAACTCTGTGTTTGGTGGCTTCAGTGAAATACTGAAGTGGTGGGCCTGAAACGCCAGGGTCATCAAGGTTGTTAGCTGCCTGCCCCAAACACCTGAAAACCCTCAGCTCGGAAGCCCTCACCTTCCATCTCTCCGAGCACTTCTTGGAGAATTCGGCGAAGTTGACGGAAGAGTCCGGGTGTTTCTTCTTGTGCTCTTCCCGGCAGGTCTGCACGAAGAAGGCGTACGAGGACATCTTGCCCCTCGGCTTGTTGGGGTCTCCTTTACCCATGGTGGCAGCCGCCGTCTACCTGGCGTGGAGAAAGCCGGCGGGTGGGCGCGGGGCCCGCAGCAGCGCTGGCGGGGTGCAGCTTCCCGCCCAAACCCGGCCCGCGCCCCCCTCCTCGMGGGCAGGCGGCCGCCGCGCCCGGCTCCCCAGCCGCCTCCGCCCGCCGCCACAGCCGCGGCCGACSACTCCTGACGCCGGGTCAGCAAGTTTCTCCGCGAGGCCGGATTCCGCCGCCCGCCCCTCACCGAGGCCCGGGACGCCGCGAGCGCCCTCGCAACCCTTTCCTGACAGAAATGTCCCCCGACTTCTACGTCGCGAGCCTAGCGCGGACGAGTCGCCTCGCGACCGACATTCAAAAACTACTGGAACCGGGCCCGGGGGAGCTTCCCGCCCTCCCGCCTGCCCCGACACCCGACCCCGCCCGCCCTTGGCAGCCCCGGCCCTCACCAGCCAGTACCCCAAATCCAGCTAGCCAGGTCGGACCCCAGGAGTCACGGCTCCGAGACACAAGAGAGGGCTCTGAGGGAAGGGGGAAGGACAGGCCCACGAACCAGAAGAGATTAAGGGGGATTCTTGCCTGATGGGAGCTTTTCCTCAGAGACCCGCAGAGCGGCCGGATCAGACAGAGGAGCTTCCTCCCCTGGGCTCCGGTGTGAACTGGTTTATCGCTAACGCAATCCTCAGCCTCTTGTTTTGCAGAGTTCTCCGCGCCACGGCAACTTGACGAGCGTCGCCAGAGACCACACCCCCACCTCTCTGATTGGCTCGTACGATTATTCAAACCCGGGGAGTCCCCGCCTCCTCCCCAAGACGTCTCCCTATTGGTCAGTGTCTCTCTAGGTCCGTCCCCCTTTCCCCAGCCTAGCAGGTTCGGTGGGTCGCCCAGGTCGTTAACTCCCAGACCCGTTAGAACCGGTCAGAGGAGGAATGTACTGCTCGATCCTGATTGGCGGCAAGAAAAGGGTTTGAAAAATGGCGGGCCTGACAGTGATTGGCCAGGACTGCAAATGGAGGAGTGGTTGGCCCTAGAGGAAAAGCCCCGCCAGATTTAAAAGTAATAAGTCAGGAGCCTGGGGGTGGTTCTCCAGGGCCCGGCGGCGGCATCTGGGCTTACTGACGCTAAGGTAAAGGCGGAAGCCTATCTTATCCCTTTTCCAACCAGTTTTGGTCCTTTCTCTCCTACGTCCCAGCTCGACCCTGCAGCGTTGTCTCTTGGGAGCTGTAGTCCCTTGCGGCCCTGCAGTCTCCCTAGCACTGTTCCAAAAACAGTAAGTGGGGGAGACTGAGGAGTTTGATCTGCGGACCGATTTCTCAGCCCCTTGGATGTGTCGTTGAGGCTGAGTAGACCCGCAAAAGACAAGGCGAGAAGCCTCAGAGTGTGAGGCGCCGGAGAGGGCAATTGCTCCCGCCTCCTGTGCGTAGGGTGATAAAAAGCCAAGTGAGGCGCTTCCCGCCGAGGGAGTTTCCCTCGGGAAGTCCCGCCCTTCATTGGCTCTTTGTCTCAGGTGTCAAACTTTAGGAGGTGAACGGGCGCGCCCTCCCGCGCCCCGCTCGCCCCGCCCCCCGGCCTGTCCCGGATTTCGGCKGTAGGCGGCAGGGCGGACTGGGGACCCGCGGCCCACGCCCCAGTCCTCAGCGCGCGCGTGGAGGTCGGGGCCCAGGCGGCCGCCTCACTTTGCTGATTGACTCAGGCTKCTAAGGTGACAGTTTTTAAAAAATTGAAAATCTAATAAAACAATGGATGCTTCACCCTGCCTCACCCCCAGTTGCATATATTCGTCAAATTATGTACAGCAACATTCTAGACTCCTGCAAGCTGCCTTAACTTGCTGCTTACCAGCCTCACAAGCTGCCTTCCCTAAGGTAGGACTTTGACACTTTAGTAAACTGTTTCTGTGTTGTGTCTAGTTTTGAAGGTTCCCCCGCCCCCAGCCTTTTGGCCTATTATCTATTGCACTGACAGTTTCAACGGGTTTTTAATTTTGTCTTGTTTTTACAGTAAGTTTGCTTGCATTTGAAACTGCATGCTCCTCTTTGGTTTGAGTATGGTAATCATACTCGGTGATACGTCAGATCCAGCAATTCTTTACCCAGATTTACTAATAAAAACTATAGATTTTTTTTTWWWWAAAGTGTATTTCCCTTATGACGGGATAGTGGTTGCTCAATATTGTGAATGCAGTTCATGCCAGTGAATTGTACACCAACAAATGGCTAAAATGGTGACTTTTATGTATGTTTTACCACAATTAAAAAAAAAGTGGCAGTTTTTCAAAAAGATAAAAGTGAATTTTCTTGTTTTAAGGATCTTAAGAATTTTATTAGTCATAATCCTTARTTTATAACATTTTTGTGCCTGCCAAAACTTCTATACCTACAAAATGACAATTGCAACTATAAGTTGTGCTTATATAAGAATTGGGCATTTACTCAAGAACTGTTTACTGAATATGTTAAGCATTGAATTTAGCAGTAAAAATATAAAAATGAAATGTCATGGCCTTTGCCCTTGGAATATTTACAGTGTAGAGGAAGACAAAAATAGGAAAGGGCAGTAAAACATAATAATTATTGAAATTGTTCAATTATGAGAGCATAAAATAATTACCTAACACCATGGGGAAGTAGGGAAGCCTTCCATGAAAGTAGCATTTGATTACAGTTGGAGTGGGAATATTAAATAGGGGGGAAAATAAACAGAAAAGCCTTTGAAAGAGCCTGACTTATTTGGAGATCAACTAGAAGAATGGTGTTGGACTGGCAGTTTACAAAGAAATTTAGTCTTTCCTATAGTCAAAGGAATTACTGAAAATTGTGAGAAAGGATAAAATAATTAGATTTCCACCTTAGATGGTAGTGTTTACAGCATGGTAAAAATGAAGTCACATTAACTTTAAAGTCAATCCACTGAGTTCAGTGGCACAGATCCATAATCCAGTTATTCAGGAGGCTGAGGCAGGAGAGTTGAAAGTTGGAGGCCACCCTGGGCAATTTAGTGAGGCCTGTCTCAAAATTGTTGAAAAGGGGCTGGCCATAGCTCTGAAGCAGAGGGTTCCTGGGTCGCCAGTACCAATATTTACTAAAGTTTACTCCACTTGGAGAATTTTGTGTTGCAATAATAAATTGGTTTCAAAACTTTTTATGTCACTCACTATAAAGCAAATAGTGAATTTATTCAACATCCCAAATCAACCCACTTGAATCAAATGTATGAAATATGTCAAGAGCCTTGTAATGTTTTGAACAACTAATAAAAAAATAAAAATAGAATAACTAAAAAAAAAAATCCCAAATCAGAGCTACTAACTGAAGTCTGCATTTCATTCTATTTTATAAGAATCATGATTCTAAGACCTTTTTTCCTTTCAATTATACTAGCAATTGGTTGGGTGTGAGGTGCTTATTTTTCAGAAAGGTTTTTAATCCCTAATCTTGATGTCTAGAAGAGACAAAGGACCATCAGGCAAGCCAAGATTGATGATAGGCCCACTTAAGTGTTATGGGTTAAATTGTGCCCCCCTCAAACTTCATATGTTGAATTTTTAGCACCCAGTACCTCAGAAGATAATCTTAATTGGGAATAGGGTCATTATGGGATGCTATTAGTTAAGACAAGGTCATACGGGAGTAGGATGAGCCCCTAATCCAGTATGATTGATGTCCTTATCAAAAAGAAAAATTTGAACACCTATACAGGTATAGAGGTAAGACAGTGTGAAAACACAAAAATATAGCACATACAAGTAGAGAAACCTGTAACAGATTCTCCTTCCCTTACTGCTCTCAGATCTGCTGATACCAATTTCCATTCTTCATAATAGCAGAGAAAAGAAAAACATTTCTATATTTAATCTACTTTTACCATTGCTGTTAAGATTTCACTTTCATGCTATACTTCCTGGCCTAGAAGTAGTAATATTGAGAAGCACATTAAAGTGTAAATAGGTTTAACTAAGATCTTGATGGTTGTTGATTACAGAACACTACCATTTTTGGTGAAAAAAAAAATAAAGTATCTGGTAGCATAAAAAAAAAAAAAAACTTAGTCCTAAATATAATTCTGAAAAGATGAATTAATACACACAAAAATCAAGGCCTAGGCTGGAGATATGGCTCAGTGGTAGAGTGCTTGCCTACCATGCATGAGGCCAGAGTTCAATCCCCAGTACCACCAAAACAAGAAAAAAAGAAAAAAAAAAAAAAATCAAGGCCTGATTCACCGTAGTATGACTTATTTGACATACTATTACAACTTTATCAGAAAAGTGAAATGTCCTAAAAGGAGTAATACTAAAGGTCTTTTTCACTGTTCCAGTCTTATGATATTTCTAAATAGGGAAATAAAGTGGTATTCTCAATTAACTTGAAAACCAATTTTTTCCAAGAACACATTAATTTTATGTATTTTAAAACAAATACCCTATATTTATTAAGGCAGTACACCTTTCTAAAAGATGATGAAAAGCACAATGTATTTTTTCTTCATAAAAATGATAAAGGGGCTGAAGCTGTGGCTTAGTGGTAGAGCACTTGCCTAGCATTGTGAGGCACAATGGTTTCAATCCTCAACACCATGTATAATACATAAATAAATAAATTAAATAAAGGTTCATTGACAACTAAAAAAATATTTTTAAAAAGATAAAAAAACAAGAACTTGTGATTTAGAACAGTTCACTCACTTGGCATTTCTAGGCCTACAATTGACAAACTAAATTGAGCTTCAGGGGATAATCTCTAAAGTATCAACTGACAAACTGTATGATTCTGTAATTTTGGCAGTATGTGATCATAATGTGAGCAAATAAACATATTTTAACTTATGCAATTGTTATGTAGTTCAGTGATTATAATTAAACTTAAAAATATAAATAACGTGTCTATAAGAATACTGATTAGTTTTAATTCCAGTTATTCTAAAACAGTGGTTGATGGAGTAAGAGTTGATAGATGCTAAACATAATAAATTATGTAGACCAAACTGGATCACACAATATTTCCATCATCTTATCCTTTCATTAAAATTATCTGGACAACTTTTCCCCTCAGATGGTATCATTCTATCATTTTATTTGCCAAACTATCTTAATTCAGCATCTCAYGAATCATAAAACATATGCTGTTAGCAATAAACTAATTATGAGGAGCAACACTATTTCCAAAGTTTGTCCCTATCCTATACCTACCTGTAAACAACTATTCTATTGAAAAACTTGAATTTATCTACAACAATGTCAGTCTTGCAGAATTGTATTAAAATGATATGCTAGATTGGAATGCCTATCATTTATTTGATCAGTCTTCCTAAAAATTTTATACTTTTAATAATCTGTGGTCATAATCAGATTGGAAAATACTAATGGATAATATGTACATTTTTTTTCCAGTAGTAGGGATTAAATCCTGGGGGCTCTGCCACTGAGCTATCTCCCCATCCCTTTTATTTTTTTATTTTGAGACAGAGTCTCACTAAATTGCAGAGACTGGCCTCAAATTTGCAATCCTCCTGAGTCACTGAAATTAAGGCATGCTCCACAGTACCMGGCAGGATATACATTTTTTGTAGACCGTTCCCCTGAAAATCGATAAATAAATTCTCAATGGTGATTATCATTGATTAATTAACTCATAAAGTGAGCCAAAATGAAGTCTACTTTATACAAGGTTAGCAGCATATAAAATAGTTATTTTGAGTTGCATAGTTGGTGAATAAACTGA